TGTGTTGGAAGGGTCTGAACTGTCCCTGCGGCACTGCCAGTGGAGGCTCTCAACTCCCAAAATAAAATTAAATAAAAATGAAAGATTTGTGGAGTTGGAGTAATAGTGCAGCGGACAGGGCGTTTGCTTTGCATACTGCTGACCTGGGTTTGGTCCCCAGCATTCCATATGGTCCCCCTAGCACCTCTAGGAGTAATTCCTGAGTCAGGAGTAACTCCTGAGCATCATTTGGTGTGATCCAAAAGCAAAAAATGAACTTAGATTTTAAAAAAAAAGGTAACAATTAAGAACCATATCATGGGCTTGAAGAACTGGTATGGGTTGAAGATGCTGGTCCTGCATGTGGCGGACCTGGATTTGATACTCAGCACTGCAGATGGCCACCAAGCACTACCAGGAGTGATCCCTGAGCACAGAGCCAAAAGTAAGCCCTGAGCACTGCCAGATGTGGCTCCAAACCAACCAAGCTAACACTGCATTTTCAGCAGGTATGAGGGATGGTGGGACTGGTCTCGAAATATCAAAGGTAAATAGAGAAAGAGTATTGTGCAAATTGTCTGCCACACAGGCAGGGGGAGGTGTGGAGGGGGGGATACTTGGGATTTTGGTGGTGGAAAACGGGCACTGGTGAAGGGATGGGTGTTTGATGACTGTATGATCAAAGCTCAAGCATGAAATTTTTGTTACTTGTACCTCACGGTGAATCAATAAATAAAAGAAAAAATTTCATAGTTCTGAAAAACAACAACAAAAAAAACCAAGCTAACAAACAAACCCCCCTAACCCCTCACACTAGGGATAGGTCTGAGAGACGCTCATTGCTCAGGAGACCATATAGGGGGCCAGAAATCGAATCGAGTCAGACATGCAAGGGTAATGCCCTACCCCACTGCCCCACACACCTATCTCTCTGGTCCTGAAAACCAACTTTTTCTTTTTTTTGCTTTTTTGGGTCACACCTGGCGATGCTCAAGGGTTACTCCTGGCTTTGCACTCAGGAATCACTCCATATGGGATGCTGGGAATCGAACTCGGGTTGGCCGCGTGCAAGGCAAACACCCTACCCGCTGTCCTATCACTCCAGTCCCTGAAAACCAACTTTTATTCAAACTCAACACCCAGCATGGTAAATTATTATAGAGAAGAGCTCCCTATACACAGAAGCAAAAGGTGTGTCAGCTATGATAAATCAAGAACTTTCCAACAGCAAACAGCTTGAGGCCCATGAGAAGAAACATCTTACAACTCAGTCTCCAGGGATCAGACATCAACCTGGCCACAGCTGTCCCTACCTGCTACCTGCTAAGTTTCCCTCTGCGTTCAAAAGCCCTTGCTGTGATATGTGCGGCTGCGAACATCAGCTGCATGAGGGGATGAATGAGCGAGCAGGAATGAGAGTTCTGAATGCTTACGGGAGAGATATCCAAACTCTGTCTTCCAGAGATGAAACAAGCAGAAAGAACAGTTTCTGGGAGTGCTTCCAAGTGCTTTCATTTGAAAGTTCATAAAGCTCCTATTCCGTTGGAATTTGCTACATGTTCCATTTCTGGAAGTACTGGGGAGGGGACTTAGGTGTTAGGAGTCTGGGCTGGGTGTGAGTCTTTTACTTCCTTTGAACTGTACATGCTGTCTTCCAATAATAAGGCCTGAGGTATTTCACATAATAATTCTTGTTTGTTTTTTGGGCCACACCTGGAGGTGCTTAGGGGTTATTCTTAGCTCTGACCCCAGAAAGTCCTTGAGGATTCAGGGGACCATAGGAAATACCGATGGCCTACCTGCTGGACTATTTCCCTGGTCTCTGCATAAGCATTTTGTTTTAAATTACAAATCCAATTCTCTGCCTTGATTTAGATGCTAGTACAGTAAGGTGGGAGAACACATCCAATTTTTAAGATAGAAATGGAAAGCAGTTATCTTACTGGAAAGCACCACTTGTGTTTGATTCTGAAGATAAAGTGTGTTTGTCTATTGGTGCAGACTGGGGATCAGGGCTCTTAGGGAAAGAGACCGTCAACACTGCAACTTGTTTGGATAAGCCTGAGGGCAGCCGTTTCCTACAGCCAGTCTGCCCATTGCTGCCAGCCTGAAGTGCAAAGGTGGAAATCCAGTCTCAGAGACTTTCACGGTGGTTTGGAAAGCACCATTTCTGGGGCGCTCTCTCAAACCATGAAATGGTTCCTTTTTCCCTTTTCCTGCAGTCCAGCCATCACACGGGAAGGAAAGTGATCAGGAATGGACATCTGTTCTGTGAGGACTAAGAAAATCATGTTCTGTGAGGAAAACCAATCCAAAGAATGGACCAGAAATGCCAACTTTGGCTCTAGACTGTTTACACGGGCCATCAGGCCATCAGCTTCACTTAAGCAGAAGAGCTGGGCTCCCTGCCAGTCCAGGCCCTCCAGCCCCTCCAACGGGCACCAGCAGCTTCCTCTTGGAAGATTCTTGCAACTGAGCTAGCTTTAGACCCAGATACATATCTCACCAAGGCCAGTTCTGCAGAAGGAATGCACTTGAAACACACCGGCATATAAGATTAGCCTGTACAGTTCTGTTTTCTTAAAAACTTTTTCAGTCTTACTTTCTCACTTTTAGAACGCATGTCAACCCTCTAGAAACTGTTGACTGTTTTTGACGGATTCTTTTTCTGATGTACAAACCTAAGGCTCTATATCATGGGTGGGGAATGCCCAGTGTGTGAGATGCAGAAGGCCTGAGAAATGCCTGGTGCGCAAGGGGACAGATACAGAAGCTCCTCACTGCTGTCCCTATGGTGTGACTTGCAAATAATGTTAAAGACATCCACATGGTCCTGAGTGGAACGAAGGGTCCTCACCCCTGCTCTGGGTGTGATACGAGCATAGGACTGAGATGTCAGCATCAGCTTCGCTGGCTTGGTGCTTCCCATGGCCCCAAAAGATCCAGCCTAGGCCCCCCTGAACACCACCTGGTATAGCCCCCAAACCAAGGGGGGAAAAAAGGAGAGGTGAATTACGGTTTGAAGAAAAGACAGTAAGGTGTCAGTAAGATGAATGGAGGGTGTGGGGGAAAGTGAACGGTTATAATAATCAAGACTGGGGTTCAAGGGGCTGGAGATATAGCATGGAAGGTAGTCTTGCTTTACACGTGGCCAAGGAGGGTTCGATACCTGGCACCCCGTATCGTCCTGTACAGTGCCAAGAGTAACTCTTGAGTGCAGTCAGGAGTAACACCTGAGCATCACCGTGTGTGCACCCCCCACCTAAATTGGGGTTCAAGGAAGCACCACCATTGATTTTAGGGGATCAATACGCTGAACAATGTATCTGAAATGAGTATGTGTTGGTAAGCTGGCCAAAGGCAGCTGGTTCAGGCAGAGGACAGCAGGACAGCCTTGAATCCGGATTGTTGTGTAGATACTGTTTTTTGTTGTTGTTGTTTTTCCAAGCCAACTAGATGCGAACGGGATTTAAAAGAGACCGAAAACCAAGGACCATGGTGACGTTTGCCAAGCGTGTGGAAGACCGGGTCGCCTGAGGCCGGAAGCACCTAAAGGTGCTGCGCAGGGCAGGATATCTACTGGCCGCGTCCGAGGAAAGTCGGACTCTCCTCGGTCGGAATCACCGGGGAGCCACGATCAGCTCTGCCCAAAACCTCAGCGACCATTTCTTCCCTGTCGGAAAGAAAGGGGCCCGGAAGAGAAGGCAGATTTGGGCTCAACGCCGCAAACCCGTCCGGCCCCAGCGGCGCTGCGCTGTCGGCTCGCGGGCGCAGTGAGCAGCACCGAGAGGAGCGTCTAGGAAGCGCGGGCGTCGAGGCGGAAGGTCCCGGGCGCCGACGAGCAACTTTCGTCGCGTTCCGTCAGCGCGGCTGAAGGCCTCGGCAAGAAGACGCGGCGGCAGAAAGCCCCGCCGAGGAGACGCGCCGCGGCCACTGGGCGCGGGAGCCGCCCGCGGCCGCAGGCTGCCTCGGACGCGGCCGCCCCCGAGCTCGGCACCGCGCTCGGGTTGGACGCGCTCACTCCCTCGCGCCCGTCAATCACGTCGCCCGCTCCCGCCCCGCCCCCTCTGTGACGCCACACCTGGCGCTCCCCGTGAGCCCCGGGGCTTGCGCGCCTCGTCGGCCGGCAGGAAGGCGGGGTGGGGCGCCCCCGTTTTGCCACCGAAACGTTCCCCCTCAGTTCCCCGGTCCGCTCGCAGGCTCAGGAAAGCCACCGCAGGCTGGAGCTGCGTACGCCCCGCCCGCGCCCCCCGGCCCCGCCCGCGCCCCCCGGCCCCGCCGGGCGAACTCCTGCGAGCTGCTGACGCGAGCGGCGCGCCTCTCGTCGCCCTCACTTCCCATTCGCCGGGAGCTCAGTCCGTCACGCGGCCGCGCTCCACTCCCCGGCCTCGCAGCCGCGCGGGATCCGCCGTCGGGGAGGCCACGCCTCCCGCCCCACCCGCGGCCGCCGCTTCGCCCGCCGATTGGCTGAGGGCGCGGCACGCCCTCCCGCCCCCACGCCCTTCGGCACCTCCGAGAAGCCGGAGAGAAGCCGCGGGCGTTGTCAATCAACCCCGGCCCCCTCCCCGCGAGGCCCCGCCCCCGGCGGTGCGCCCCGCCGCGCGCCCGCGCCCGCGCCCGCGCGCGCCCGTAGCCCCCTCCCGGCGCGCGCCCGGCCCCGCGCGGCGGCTGCGGCGGCGGCGGCTTCTCCGCGCCTTCCGCCAAGTTGTAGCGCTCGCTCGGCCGCGGCGGCCCGCGCGCGGGCCGGAGTGTGCGCGCCTCGGCCCCGGCGCCCGGGGCCCCGCCATGGCCGCGCCCGAGGGGGCGGCTCCGGGCCGGGCGGGCGGCCCCGCCGGCGTCCCCTGAGGGGCGGGTCGCGGGCCGGGCTGACGGAGGCTCCGCTCGCGCCGGCGTCGGCACTTGTCGCCGTCGCCGCCCCGTCGCCGCCGTCGTCGGCGGCCGCGCTCGCGCCCCCCTCCGCGCTCGCGCCGCCGCGGGGCCCGGCCCCGGGCGCCGGGATGCGGCCGTGAGGAGGCGGCGGCGGCGCGGCGCTGTCCCCGCCTCCCGCCCGCTCCCGCCCGCCCCCGCCGCTGCCCGCCGAGCCGCCCGCGCGCGATGTCGGCGCCGCCGCCGCCCGCGGGCGCCGCCGTGTCCGCGGCCGAGAAGGTGGACGGCTTCACGCGCCGCTCGGTGCGCCGCGCGCAGCGGCAGAAGCGCTCGCAGAGCTCGTCGCAGTTCCGCGGCCAGGGCGGCGCGGCCGAGCTGCAGCCGCTGCCGCCGCTCAAAGGTGAGCGCCCGCCGGCCCGGGGAGCTCCGCGGGGCGGGGGCCGCGGCCTCCGGGCGCGGTTGCAGGCCCCGCCGCGCCGAAGGACGCCCGCGGCCGCCGCCGCCGCCCGGCCGGCCCCGAGGCCCGGACCCCCCCCACCCCCGCCCGCCCCGGCGCGGGCTGCGCGCGGCGGCGCCCCGCGAGGGCCTCGGCGTGAGCCCGGGCGGGTCGCGCTGCCCTGCCCGCTCGCCGCGGGGCGCCGCGGCGGCGCAGTCGGAAAGTTCGGCGCTAGTTTCCGATTCGCGGCCGGCGGCGCGGGGCCCGCCGCGTGGCCCGCGGGGTCCGGTCGCGGGTCGCGCGTCGCGGGTCGCGGTCGCCGGCCGAGAGCCGCGGCCGCCGGAGTCTCCGCGCGCTGCTCCGGGGCTCGGCGCTCTCGCCAGGGGGGTCCGTGCCGGGGAGGAGCCGGCGCGGAGGTAGCGGAGTCGGTGAGACCCTGCGCTTGCCTGCCGGCAGGAAGAGCCGCTTAGGTGCCGAAATGCGGAAAAGTTGTGTTTTCAGTTTTTAATGAAGGAGGTCCCTTCTGGTCCTTAGTGTTCGGGCAGCGTGCGCGATACCGCCCCGCCGCCGTGTGCGCTCTTAAACGCCGGCGCAAAGCCCTGAACTGTAGGGAAGGGTTTTTCTTCCTCCTGCTCCGAAATTCAATCGCACCGTGCAGTGATTCGGGTATCTCTGGGCATCCAGGACCTGTCAAGTGTCTGACGGGAAGCTTCCCCGGCTTGGCTCTCTGCGTCCACGTAGGAAGGAATTTGACCCACAACAGTCTTCCTTTCCGTGTGTCGTTTCTGCAGGATCACTTCCTTAGCGGGCAGCAGGGTTGTGAGGGTAAAAATGTGCAGAGTGGAATGTTTGGATCCGTAGAACTTAGTAAACAAGTCTTGTTAAAACATTGAAAAAAAAAAAACAAACCCACTGTTCTTTGTCTTAGAAATGAAATCGCCTGATACCCCATAGCATTGAACTTTTTCTCCCCCCAAAATTTTCCTCAGTTTTTGGGTTCATGCTACTGGTAGGAAAGAATTCCTCTTCTTGCTCTGAAATTCAATCGTACTGCACAGTGATTCAGATATCTCTGGGCATCCAAGACCTGTCAAGTGTTCGTGCCAACCTTTTTAAGCTCTTCTGAGAACTAGATCTTAGGACATCAAAGTTGAAGTTTACCAGTTATATTTCCTGTATCTAAATTTATGTTAATAAAGAACTTCATTTTTTTCTACTGTGAACTTTTCCTTCAGTAACCAACAGTAAGACACTTAAAAAGTAAAAATCTAGTAGGCACAGTGGAAGGCTTTTCTGCCTTTCCCCTATTCTGTGTCTGGAAAGGTCGGTTTGGTCAAATGTACTATATGTCTTACAAGTAATTTTGCATTTCCTTTTTGGTTATAAAATGCCATTTTGTGTTACCAGTGGGACGTGGAGTCCTCAGCCCTCATTTTTCTGCCTGGGTCCAGCCAGGGAACCTCTGCCTCCAGTTGGCTTTACGCCAACAGGCTTGTGCCTCATTGAGCAGCTTGGTCTCCTAATAAACAGAATATTTCACGGGCCACCCTGCCAACTCCATGCAAGAGCCATGTTTTTTTCCCATCTTTTTGAGTCCCACATACTGTTGGGGCGGCCACAGCCGGGTTTCAGGTCTGTGATGATGTTGTAACTGGTCCCAAGTCAGATGACTTCAGCTTTGTGTGTTGTGCGCTTACTTTACAAAACCTGAAGCAGTACGGCCGAAAAGAGTTGGACCATTGTGATTAATTCCCTGTTTTTTGGTGGGAGGGTTGGGGGTTGGGTCACACCTTGCTGTGCACAGGACTGACTTCTGCCTCAGGTCAGGAATGACTCCTGACAGTGCTCAGGGGGCCATATGGAGCGCCAGGGATGGGACTGGGTCAGCCACAGGCAAGGCAAACACCCTCAGCTCTCATTGTGGTTAATTCTGAGGGAAAGGTAACATTTTCATCTGTGAGTTGTCCTTATCTATAAAATGGGGATACAGCCTATAGCCTTCTCTCTCCCCAAGGTTGTAGAGATTGAGATAATGTAATGAAAATTTTTAATGTCTAAAAATGGAAAAATGGGCTACTGGAGAGATGGTACAGTGGGTAGGGAGCTTGCCTTGTATGTGGTCGACCTGGGCTTGATCCCCAGCACCCCATTTGGTTCCCTGAGCACCACCAGGAGTGATCCATGAGCCACAAGTAAACCCTGAGCATTGATGGGTATGCCCCACAAACCACAGAAGAAAATATTAGTTCTCAATCTCTTGATAAAATCCAAATTTAAAGTTTATTTAAAATGGAGAAATTACATTAAATAAAGTTTCCTAGTACTTAAAGTATCAACCATTTTTCAGATGATTTATTTACATGAGATAGGGTGAGCTGTAAGATTTTCTTCATAAGTGTGGAAATGGAAAGAGGGTAAGTCAGACTCAAAAATATAGGGGCCGGAGTGATATTATAGCTGGTAGCGTGTTTTCCTTGCACACAGCTGACCCAGGTTTAATCCATGGCATCCCATATGGTCCCCTAAGCACTGTCAGGAGTATTTCATGAGTAATTCAGCACCCTACCCACTGTATTATTGGTGCAACTGTTTTTTTTTTTCTCCCAGCAAATAAATTACTTTGAGTATTTCCGAACCAGAAGTAACTCCTGAGCATTGTTGGGTGTGACCCCCAAAACAAACAAAAAATTATAAACTGTTGTCAGATTCCCCCTCCCCTTACCCATTCCCACCCCCCAAGTGCTCAGGGTTTACTCCTGGTGCTCTGTAATCAGAGGCTTTGAGGTCCCTTCACAAACTGTATGGGACCATATGGTACTCAAGCACCAAACCTGGGTTGGCAGGTACAACCCAGCACCCTACCCACTGTATTATTGGTGCAACCATTTTTTTTTTCTCCCAGCAAATAAATTACTTTGCCAGAGAATTGCGTAGATTTCTTGTAAAAATAATAGCAAAGAGCAGAATGAAGCCGGATTTGCCGGTTAAGGCGCCTTCAGAAAAGCTGAAGAACTTCCAAGTAGTCTCAGGTTGTGTCTTGACGTCTTCCTCATGATCCCCACGGAGGGATCCATGCTGGAGCACAGGTGCTGATGTGAAGTGCTTTGCTCACCTTTAGGGATTCCCCTCACCCTCCCCTGCTTCTCCACCATGTGGTATTTTGGGAGCACTGACATCTGAAAGATGCCATCTCAGCAGCGTCAGTCAGAGGATTTCATCCAGCTCTCGGGGCTACAGAGTTTTATCTGACTCAGCCTATAGTCCCCTTTGTAATCAGGTGGCTCTTAACGACATGAATATGTGAAAGAAAATTTAGTTTACAAAGAATAACTAGTTACATTAGACTGTGTTCTGGAAGCAGCGTTGTATTCTGCTGCTTTATTTTTGAAAACCCTTTTTGGGGGCCATACCTCGTGATGCTCAGTGGTTATTCCTGGTTCTGCACTTAGAAGTCAATTCTGGCAGTGTCAGAGGACCATATGGGATGCTGGGGATTGAACCTCTGTCAGTTGCATGCAAGGCCAGTGCCCCTTTGATTGTTTTTTTTTTCTCTGGCCCAGACATGGCTGGAAGGGCCCCCAGACAGAAACGAAGCGTTCCAGTGCAATGCTTTTCGTGTCTTAAATGCTCAATCATTTCAATAAAATGGAATCTGTCCTTCCCCGTCACTCTTCCACCCTGGAACGCCAGATGCCTGCCTAGGGCAGTCTGGGCAGCCTCCCGCCCTTCACCCTCGCTTCTGATTCTTAACTCAGTGTTGGGTTGTTCTCTGAAGTATCTAAGAGTACAGTAAAATGGATTAGTATATGAGTCTGACCACCAGGATTAGAGTTTGCAGTTAGTAGGGTGAGGTGTTCCTGCATCTGCAATGACTCAGAGTTGTTTAGCCTTTGAATTTCAGTTTAATTTCTTTTTACTTGTAAAAATAAAATTTTCAAATCATAGTATCATAAAGATCTAATTCTTTTTTTTTCCCCAAAGATCTAGTTCTTAATGAGTCATTATACCTCTTTGGATTACAGAGACAGGCAATAAAATAATACCTCTAAGAATACATGTTTGGTTAATTTTTATTACCTATACATTATAAAAAATCTGGAGATGAAGACTAGCTTATTTTTATTTGCATGTGTTTAGCATTCTGGTTTTCAGCCTAAACTGTACATTTCTCAGTTCAGCTGAGAACTTGAAAAGTTCTCAGTGCTTGGGGCCCCACCCCAGAAAATTACCAATTAATGTCTCTATGGTTGGACCCAGGCGTTTGTGTTTCTAAACACCCCCGCCCCTCCAGTGAGTCTAACATGTAGCTAGGTGGAGAATTATTGGGTGAGCATTTTCTGTCTGTTGATTTAATTCGTTAATTGAGCCATTGTCCTTTTCTTTCTGCTCTCATGGCTCATTACCTAGTCTGTTAACGTGTCCTGCCCTCGCTTAACCTCCTGCCACTTATTTTCTTTCTCTGGCTTCACTTTGCTGCCCCCTGTGGCTGATCTGCTGCTTTCCAGAAGGCGGTGGTGCTGGGAGGATAGGGAAGTTTGGGTCTGAGGAAATGATGCTTTATGTTGGATTCGGCTCTGGTCATCATCAATAAAGTGACCAGTTTTTTCTCTGTAACTCGGAGCTGTGGCTGAGCTCTCAGGGAAGATGGAACGAGGGCTAGAGGTTTGCTTAGTTTTCAGGGAAACAGAACAGTCCCAGCTGCCTGGAATGTAAAATGTGCTTACAGCATGGTCATGCTTTCTGAGGCTGTGGAACTGGTATTACTACTGTCAGCTGCTGAACAGCGAACTCTCCTTGAACTTAACTGTTTTGATACCTGTATTTATGTAGGATCTAGAAATACTCTTGGGGCTGGAGCGATAGCACAGCAGGCAGGACATTTGCTTTGCACGCGGCCAACCCGGGTTCGATTCCCAGCATCCACATGGTCCCCTGAGCACTACCAGGAGTAACTCCTGAGTGCA